ATAGGTTTAAATGGGATATAAGGAAGAAATTCTTTACTGTGAGGGTGATGAGGCACTGAAACAGGTTTCCCAGAGAAGCCGTGGCTGCCCCCTCCCTGGCAGTGCTCAAAGCCAGGCTGGATGAGGCTTTGAGCAGCTGGGTGTAGTGGAAGGGGTCCCTGCCCGTGGCGGAGGGGTTGGAACTGGATGATCTTTCAGGTCCCTCCCAACCCAACCCATTCTATGATTATTAATAAAATTAAAGCTAGCAGGAGCCACTTTACAGCAACAAATTTACAGGTTTGTAACATGCAACTGCCTATCAGTGGAAGAGCCAGGTTAGCAGTAGCTGCATCAGGGTTCACTGTAGCACCAACTAAACCAGGGGAGCTTTCGACAGGTCGTTGGGAACCATTTCTCTACCGAGAGGGTGGTCAAACACCGTCAGAGGCTTCCTAGAAAGGGGATCAATGCCCCGAGCCTGTCAGTGTTTAAGAGGCATTTGGACAATGACTTTAACAACCCACTGGAACTCGGTCAGCCCCGAAGTGGTCAGGCAGTTGGATGAGATGATCATTGAAGGTCCCTTCCAGCTGAAAACACTTTATTCCAACTAGTCCATCCTACACAACAAGGATACAAAACTCTAACTTACTTTAATGCTTTGTAGGTGATTTCCTTGACATCCATGCCAAAAAGCTCCTTTGCAGCATGTTTAAAAATGTGCTCCAGGTAACCATCGGATCGCTTCCCATCATGCCTTACTACATCTCCCTCCTTTATTTCATCAAACCTTAGAAAAAACAGAACGAAGGATCAACTCCAAAATTTCACTCCATCTCAGTAAGGTAGTACATTTTTCCTCCTCTGTGTCTCCCCCACCAAAAAGTTTTATAGCAGTAAGAACATATTAAACATTTTTATTTATTACAACTTCAAAAAAACACCTGTTCAGGACAGCAGTAAGATGACAGGTGGGGCAAAAAAAAAAAGATGCAGGGCTTTCCATGTTCAGAAACCTCGAGCAACAGGAATTTATAAGAATTCATATTCAGCACAGCTTAAAGACTTAGTTAACAGCCATTCACTGCTCAGGAGACATTTTTTGGAGAAAAAAAAAAAATCATTTTTAGCAAGTGAGAATGTAGAAGTACTTCAGAAGTTACCAGCCTTTGCTCACAATTCTCCTGCTCCAGTAACTGTTTGCGGAATCTGTAACACCGTGCCACCAAAGTAACACCGCGTCAGGCTGGAATGCTGTACCTTTAAGGTGAGTGCTACGCTACAGTTCAGGCAGGAGAATTAGTGAGATGGTACCCAAAGGGCAAGGCATTCACCCCTTGGTTCACCTGTGCCCAGCTAAGAGCAGAGCACTGACGGGCACGCGGGGCTGCAGTGCGAGCTGTGCTGGTGGGCACCGAAGCCTGCAGCTCCACGGGCTCATCGAGCTCATGTTCCTTTCCAGCCAAGGAGAAATCGATAGGGAGGTGCAGTTATGCTACTTTCAGGAAGAGGTGTTTGTCTCCAGATGAGCAAACAGACAGGTTATGTCCTTTGTTCTTACACGTAAGATACACTCTCGTTACCGTCTTCCCAGAACACCCAGACGTGACCTTTCCTGGCCTATACCGCTAGCTCTCGCCTGAGCAGCAGCCCAAGCAGAGCACTCAACCACAAAACCAAAGTGAAAATTACTACAGCAAATACCTTCCTAAAAAAATCGCTGAAGTTGTAAGGATGACAGAAATATTTTAATCACCAAAGAGCTGTCATTTACAAATTTAGTGTGTCTGTCCCCTCTATGCTGTGCCATTGCATCTACTTAAGAACTACTGCACCTTTTGTGGGTTTTTTAATAACCTTGGATGATTTTGTTTCATTATGTCTCCTAATTTTAGCCAACTTCTATTTGTTAGCATTTCTAGCTACAAAAGCGAGTTGAGAACTCAAATGTGAGTTACTTTGTTCATGCTACGTTAATACCAACCACTTTACCACAAACTGTGGCCATGCTGGGACTTGTTTTAAAAGAATGACTTCAAGTTATATAAATTATCTGCAAAAACTAGTTTTAGGACCCCAGAAGAGGAAAAAATTACATTATCAGGTCTCACAGCTTGAACCAGTATTATCAGATTAGTCCTTTTAAAAATTAACATTTTCTGACATAAATTGATCCAATAAAACAGGTATATTCTGAAAAAGGGCTTATTCTTTCATTGGACAGGCTGATTTAGAAATAAATTACCATCTTTATGTGAAGACGTCTAAGAGCTGTATTTATGCAATTCTCATTCTGCGTAGCTATCTCTGGTAGAAGTAATCATAGAAGCTACACTAGAAAACCAGCTCTGAAACTGTTACCACTGTACCACTTAAATTTCTCCAGCCTAGAGAAGGTCCAAGCAGGATACTAACTGAGAGCGAAAAGGATTTTTAAAAATTACCAGAGCTTTCTATTTTGTGCAAGAAAGCATGTTTATCGCTCCACCACCACCACTTTGGAAAGCTACCAACTAACATCTGTCACTCCTGAACAAAGATCAGCGAGCAGCGAGCGCAGCCTTTGTAACTAAGCCCTGAATGAAAACAACATGCGTGCTGCTTTCTGAGCCAGTCACACGGCGAGTAAACAAAATCCCTTCAATGCTTTGTGTGATTTGCATCCACTACACTTCACCTAAGGCGTGTTTCAGTTCTACCTAATCTTGAAAACTGCTCTGTTCAGGGTAAAAAAGTTAATTAGCATTTCTTGAAAGGGTGCTACTTCTAGCAATTCTCCATGAACACGTTAGGGGAGGCGCACATGTACCATCAAGACGCTGCTCTGAATGCGGGGGAGCACAGCGCAGATGGTCAGCCCCAGGACTGCCGCCCGGCATCTCTGTGTGAGGCCAGAGCGCCAGGGGGGCACAGATCAGACTCTTCAGCGATATAAAAGCTTAAGCATAGGAGAGCTCGGAAGCGGGTCAACACCCTGAGACAGTCACACTGACTAGCAAGTTGGGAACTTGCTATAGTCGATATTACTCGTATTATTGCATTAAAATATACGTAAGGAGCTACACATCTTAAAAATCCTAAAATTTAAAGGAGTCGCCAGACAGGAGTTACTACCGCAAATTACCAGCTTTGTATCTAGACAGTATACACAGTTTTATGTTATCTCTTTTGCAAGCATTTTATATATAGCAATGAACATCTAAGAGAATACTTCTGGGGTTTTTAGCCACTCGGCTTTTGATACAACTTTTTTTTTTTTTCTTTAAAAAGAAAAAACATTCTTTTGAGAAGTTTTACATTTATGTTGAATGTGCTCAAAGGTTTTGTCATTTGTCATCAAAATAAGGAAGTGATCCACACACAAAAAAAAAAACCTACTTACAAACTATCTACAGCTACTTCAGTCACATCTTTCATAGACACATTTTTCTGTTCCATTATTTGGACAATTTCACCTGTAGGAAAATGTACGACATTTTACTTTCAACGCAAAGCAAAATGCGCATGCTGTGCTTCGTTCAAGAGACCACCATCCCAACGCCTACTGTGCTTACAGTCACACCGCCAGCTCTTACTAGAGTCACTTCCCTCCAGTAACTGAGAAGCCTGACAGCCTTCAGCTCCCTCCAAACTTCGCATAATGCTGTCCTTAGCCTTTCTGTTAGATAAAGTTTTGAAGACATTTCAATGCTGCAGGGGAAAAAGCAGGATGCGTAGTTTGGCCATTAAGCCTAAAGAGCAGAGCCACACCAAAAAGCCACTGGTGCCACGCATTTGGAATGTTACGGAATTGCCAGTGGCGATTAAATAATGACCACAGACAAACAAGGCAAAGGTTTTTAGCATGGACTTGCACAACACTTACCCTTCTCAAGAGGCTGGCAAAAAACAAATACCTGGATTTTGTTATCAGATGAGTACCAACATGGATGGAAAGTACTTTTTGCTTTGCCTTCCCTATGCAATACCTGTACTACCAGTAGCACGAAAACCTGTACTTATTTTTAAAGCAGAAAAAAAGCCAACCTTACAACTAGAGCAGACTTGAAAAAAGCGAAGCCTGGCATAAAGGCTATTCTGACAATGGTGATTCACTTGTATCTTTATAAATAGTAAGTTTAAAGAAGATTTAACCTGACGTCAGAACACAATCAACTTCTTGCGAATTGTACAAGGCAGTGTAGAAATCTTCCCGCAAGGCTTCCAGCTTTTTGTCATAACAAGGCGCCACAATCACGTGGAAAATTTTGTCAGGAGACAAATTCTGTGGAACACAGAAGAGAGCACACAAGAACTCCATGATGAGCAAAAGACAGCTTGAAGGATGACAAGGACACAGACAGCATCATAAACTCTGTGCAGGCAACACCAGTAATCAACCCCTAGCAGTTACATTTAAAGACTGCTGCACACAGATGAAGTGATTCACCAGAAGTCGGAAAACATCAGCAATAAATATGAAAAGTCAAGTCTTCTGGCTGAAACTTTAACTTACTCCCTCAGACCACATTTTGTGCAGTTTCTGGTTGCCTCAGACAGTGAATGCAAGTCAGGACTTCAGAATTCTGTTTTCTAGCTGTCACTCGCGCACTCACGCACTTTGATCCCCAGCAAGTCCATCAATATTTCTCCATCTATGTGGAGATAGCAATACTTTCCTGCATCATGTGGATGCAGCTAAATTTAAGTATGATACATAGAAAGAACAGCAACTTTCTCAATACGCAAAACTGAGAAGATAGAAAGGTTAGTTTCTAGGATATAGTGCTTTTATTGATCCCAAATAACGGGGCAATTTCTACATTATTCCCCTTGGCTCCTGTTTTGGCTGTGCTATAGAACTGCACAGCCAGCTTTTAACAAGAATCTCTTTAGCTACCCTGAATTTAATTTTATCCATAAGTATCTAAATCCATGTTGCACTGGGAGCGCAAGGATTGCTCCCAGCTCACACTGCACTACATGAAATAAGGTTCTTTGGACATCCTTCTTACCATGGGCACCTGTATAGCAGCAGAGCAACATTTATTCTTCAAGTAAAGGACAAACAACTCTGGAATACACTTTATCACTCTGTAATATGCCAAGATCTATATTTTGGTATTAAAACTTACTAGCCCATCTTTTTAGAAGAGTATAATGGTAAAAATAAATCAGAATTACTTACTTGCTGCCTGGCAAAGTAGCCCTTCACCAGGGAGCCCATGATCTGCTGTGGAGACTTTGCAGTGCAAATGTGAGAGGTCACAAGATTGGTCAGTACCCTTTCCGCGTACCGGATCCAACCTAGAACACCACAGAAAACCACAGTTAGACAGCGAAGTGGCACATAAGCATGGCAGTCGCAGCAGTTGTAGAACAGCTCCTAAAAATGAAGATACCACCACAGTAGGTGGGACCTCGCTGTGTAGGCTGGAAGCCCCAGAGGAGGCCACGAAGATGATCCCAGGACTGGAGCACCTCTCCTATGAGGACAAGCTGAGGGAGCTGGGGCTGTTCAGCCTGGAGAAGAGAAGGCTCCGGGGTGACCTTAGAGCAGCTTTCCAGTGCCTGGAGGGGCCAACAGGAAGGCTGGAGAGGGGCTTTTCACAAGGGTGTGTAGTGATAGGACAAGGGGGAATGGCTCTAAGCTAAAAGAGGGCAGATTTAGATTAGATATTAGGAAGAAATTCTTCACCACGAGGGTGGTGAGGCCCTGGCCCAGGCTGCCCAGAGAAGCTGTGGCTGCCCCCTCCCTGGCAGGGTTCAAGGCCAGGTTGGATGGAGCTCCGAGCACCCTGGGCTGGTGGAAGATGTCCCTGCTCATGGCAAGGGGGTTGGAACTAAGGTCCCTTCCAACCCAAACCATTCTATGATTCTGTAACGGTAGGAAACCTCAAGGCTCTGTTAATAACACTTTACAGCTGGCTATCAATAACTCAGTGTGCCACTGATTCCAGACCTATAAGCGACTGTGAACATCATGACCTATTACACCCTTTCTAATGCACAGATTTAACAAAGCAGAAAGAACGGGACCCCCAGCTAACAAAGAGTAAGTTGACTTTCTAGACCTCAGCCCTCGGATCACCAGATACAACAAATGCACTCTGTTCAGCTGCTTAACTGTAACCTTCTGTTTCCCGAGATTTAACATCACGCACCCAGCTTGCCTCCTCTGCAACAGAAGAGTCACATGAAAGCATTATCACAAGATGCACACGGATTAAGCCTGGAAAAAAATGGTTTCTTTTACTATTGTTGGAGTAGCCATACCTTCTTTAGAAACAACCCCCTACACACACACAACCACACACAGAATAATTAGCTGAAATCTCTCTGTATACAACATTCTGAGTTACTCTAGAGTCCCCCTCCCTCTCACCAGACCCCTTCAGCATTTCGGCTGTGACAGGCTGTGTACATTCACACCAGCCCCATTACCCAGAGCAGTTCTGTTATTCTCCACCTTCCAGAACAGGAACTGACGAATGAGCAGATTAAGACATCAAGGGTGTGCAATTCTTTCTTAGGCACAGTAACTCTTACAGAAAACCACAGCCCAGCATCTTTTTCAGCAAGAATTCAGAACTTTTTGCTTCAGCTACCTGAACCAAGAACCAGACACCTAAACTGTGCACAAGTGCTAGGCTCAGCCTTCTAGGGAAGTGTATTGCCTTTGGTGCTAAGAAATAGTGAAAAATACCACGCTGAAGTCTTTTATCTTCAAACAGATTAGTGTTTACATAAAAGACGAAGATTTCTGTGAAGTACATGCTGCCCAGGAAAGGTAAAACCTGTAGGTTAATCCTTAAGCTTGAAATTCAAACACTACCAGGTGTTTATACATGTCAGAACGCTGCCACACAGGCTAACAGCAGCACAAAACTGGAATCCAGGAGGTGTTCAGACGGTTTGTCTCTCTATGGCAGAGAAGTGGCTGTCCCAGCGTAGTAAAATTTTATTGATGAAAATGAGAAAGCTCAAGTATCAGGGAAACATGAGGATGCTCCAGCTGTTTAACATTCCCAATTCTTCTTAAAGTACAGACTTCAAGATTAACAGATACTGGTCTCCATGGAAAATCTCATCAAAGGTGTACATCGTTTTCAAGAAGCATTCGTTTCTGTTGTAGAAAAAGCTAGGGACTACAGATTTACAGGTCAGGACTGTGCTGGACTGCTAGACTCTGAACAGGAAGTTTGCTTAATAGCCAACCTCATCCACAACTTTGCGATATTATCTGCAACAAAGGACTTAATTTATTAGTGCTTGATACAAAGGCTGTATTAGCATATTCTGCATAATAGGTATATCCTATTTCTTACAGGGCTTTGGTCTCAAGTGCTGTCAAAACAGAAAAAAAACCTGCTTCAAACAAAATATGGACAGTATTTAAAAACATTCTGCCTCACACTTTAGCAGCATTTCTGGAAGGTCCTTCCATTCTACTGCAACTATGATTACTGTTACCACAGCACTGCTGCTCTGAGGTTAGTTTTCAGAACTGGAATATTTTAGATACCATAGTCACAAACTGTACGGAAATTTCACTAAATCCCAAGAGGCTTCTGGCAGGTATCGCCCAAAGCAATTTCTTAAATTGTTTCTTCCCTTGCAGTAGACGGAACAAGTGTCTAGTAGTTCCAGCTCCACAACGACCATTAGTCACTGCTTAATTATACAAGCAGCCTCGGTGAATGAGCAACAACGCGGCATTTATCTGCACTTCACATCCCCACTAGCTGTTTCTGCCTCCTTATCAACGGGGCTGAATTCCAGAGCCGCAGTTACAGGAAGGCTCAGATACCCAGCTCTCCTATCACTGTACATCTGTGCCCATACAGACCCACACCCTGCACGAACTCATTCAGACCCTTGGCCTTTCGATGGCTTGTGTCAGCCGCAAAGAACACCAAGAAACCCCTACAAATCACTGTATGAATTCCTGCAGGTGTACTTCAGAACACGTTATTTTCAGTGGTTTATTGTGAGTAGATCACAAAGACGCGTGCTACAAATATCTAGGCATCAGTATGAAGCACAGAACTAAGAAAACTTTCGCTACTTTAGAACCCCATTCCTGTAAAAGGAAATTAGTTTAGTTGACAGGGACAAAAGCATTTGAATCCTCAAGTCATGCGCTTCCTACTTACACTGTAAGCCTGCCCCACTGCCCTGTGCTAGCAGTCACAGAGGCTGGCGATACATTAAAAATGCTGATCGCTTTCCAGAGCACATGTTTCACATTGCTTACCAGTCTGGTAAATTAAGGAAGCGAACTGACTCCTTCAGAGATAGTACATGTACAGTCAGTAGTTACATTGCTGTACTTTCAACAGGAAACAAAAGCTAAAAAAATTGTCTCACTTTCTTTTAAGAGAGCAGCGGGAGGACATAAGAACAATTAAAAGGGCCTTTTGTTGTCTCTGTTTTATCAGGTTCTGGGACCACAGGGGCTATGCTCTTCTCCTCATGGTAGATTTTACACCACAGACCACTCCTGCAGAGGGTGGCATTTCTGTGGGAAGTTACACCCAAAGATAAGTGAGGTTAAAGCAGTTGTACTTGAGTTCACATTGACCTTATATCTACAGAGCTACATAAAAAACATTTGGCAATAAACAGACCCAGTAAACAACATTTCTGGGACAAATTTCTGTAATCTGGGAGCAGAGAGAGAGGAAGGAGAACGAGGAACAGAAAATGCACCCAGACAACTAAAGTCACAAAACAGTGAACAACCTGACTTTAAAGATGAGTGATCATGATTTTTTTTTTTACTGTAATTACTGTCAACAGGAATGAAATACCATATGCTTTCAGAATGGGTTTACAGTGGTATTTCAGTTCAGTTTTCCAGAAACAGAAACCACCCGTGCTTCTGCTAGCTATCTGCTGTGGTGTAGATGTTAGGACCATAACTAGCACTGAACACAGACACAATCTTTTGCAGAATAGACAAGAAGTGCTCTGTTAACTATTTTAAAATATTTCCAACAAGAGCAGCAGATAATCTGAGCTCTGTTTCTAGAAGAAGAAAAATTAAATTATCTCAGACGAAGTTCTAAAAGAAATCCTCAAGGTTTGAAATTTAAATAAACTATGTACAACAAAACAAAGCTAAGTAATAGGGGGTTGTTTCAACTTCACAGGTTTTACATTAAAAAAAAGCAATGTATAGTACGTCTGCCCCTGAAGATAGAAGGTAACACTAAGATAACAGTAACAGAAGAAGAGACTTTTCCTCTTGATACATATATATAGCTCCTAAAGCATAACCCAGATACTTCCACTACAGAATGCACAGAACCAACAAAAGTACAACTTAAATTGCAGTATTGAAACTTTAAATCGATGACAACAACAGATTCTGGTGATCACCAAACTCACACTCTAATTCACTCTCTTGTAACTGTAACAGTTCTTTAAAGACTGCAAGCCCTTTCAAAGCTAGAAAGAAATATTTCTGTATCTTTATCAGGTTTTTGAAAAGCAACACCACGAATTTAATAGGGTGGAGTTCAGTGGGGGGAGTTAGGTGAAGGGATTACGCTTACCCCCTTGTTGATATTTCTTAGGCAACTGACTTACCATACTTGAAATGATGGTCTGATAACAAATGCAGAAAGTCAACAATGACTGAATGTGCTACATCTTTTCAGTTGTGATGAGTGCAGATTATGTTCATAACAAAACAAGTTCTCAGGTGCAAAATTCTTAGAAACGGGACATGTAGTGAGTCAAGTCTGTGACATTTCAAGTGGGAATTTTTTGTTCAGTGTTACACAAAACCATCTCACAGTCATTAAGATTAATGTCACTTGCTACTTTCCCCTAGGCTTAAGTGGCAAGTTCAAAACTTTGCTTAAGATAACAGAGGTTGTGGTTTAATTACACCAGTTAGTAAAGTTCCTTGAAGGTTCTTTTCAATAAGGAAATGCCACGTGAAACTTTGTGGTCTGGACACACGAGCAGCAGCCACTAACTCCTCAATTCCAGTTCCAATTAATTTCTCCTAAAGTCTTACACAAAGCACTAAAAACCTCGGTGCTTCGGTACCTCAGTTTCATTATCCACAGATTCATGTGCAATATATGCTTCTGTTACAGAAATGACGGGAAATACATCTGACTAATAAACACCACATACAAACACTAGCACAGGAAATCAGTAGTTCAGGTTCTCCGTATTGCCAGAGGCTGTGGACTACAGCAAGGTTCTTTTGAAGAGCAACAACAGAATTTACACTCCTCACCTTTTACAGAGCTCCAACAGAAGACAACTGCAAGATGCAGACAGGGAATTTATTGCAACCTTTGCACCTGACTGCGTAAGACCCTACACTGAATGAATCATAGGCTGGAAAAGACCTCTCAGACCATCAAGTCCAACCATCCACCCAACACCACCATTCCTACTAAACCATATCCCGAAGTGCCACATCTACATGTTTTTTAAACACCTCCAGGGATGGTGACTCCACCACCTCCTTGGGCAGCCTGCTCCAATGCCTGACCACTCTTTCAGTGAAGAAACTTTTCCTAATATCTAATCTCAACCTCCCCTGATGCAACTTGAGGCCATTGCCTCTTGTCCTATCGCTGGCTACCTGGGAGACCAACACCTGCCTCACCACAACCTCCTTTCAGGTAGTTGTAGAATGAGCCGTATCCAGCACGACCACGCTGTGCTTTGCACGGTTCACATCTATGGCTGTGGTACCTCGCTTATGTAGGGGAAAGCTGATGATGCTTGTTGGAAACAAATTCTGCCCTCCCAACAGCCCATGGGAACCAGGCCCATCCAGCAATGCACTGAGGACAACCAGCACTACTGGTATCAAGTACCACATGCGATATCTGGTATCTCTCAAAAGCCAAGCTAAAATGCTGTAAGTTCTGTAAGACTCCCAAACGAAACCTCCCTCTCCTTCGCTCCTTGGTAGCTCCAGTGACACTAGGCTGAAGCATGGGAAGGTTGGAGACATCAGTTCTCACCAGGGCAAGCAGAGGCAAACATCGGTAAGGCATGCTCCTCCTGGTTCCTCCGCTGATACCGCTGCACAAACTCCCTCTGGCTCTCCAGGATACTGAAATCAGCAGCTATAGTGGTGTCAAATACATAATGCACCCCTACGAAAGAAAGCAGTAAGGAAATGTGAATTATTAGAACGTTTTCCATCTCACAGGCTTCTTTCCAAGTTCCAGGTCTACAGAAAAACTTGGAGGATAAACAGGTATATTCCTTCCCCTCTCCAAAATGTCACAAATAGTAGGGTCAAAAATAAAAGCAATACACTGAAAAGCTATCTTCTATGCCATGGATTTAAAAGGACCAACAACTTGCTAACGCTGACTAGCAACACTTCAAACAGTTGTCTGCTTCCTTACAAGAAGCTTGCCGCTCAGCACATATTTGCATTTTGTTTAATTGAATGGCATTTCGTGACTTCTGGGCTATATGCTGTGACTCTTGAAAAGGAGTATTCTTTTCAAGACATGCTGAAGTCACGTATCATCATTCACAAAACCTACGTCCAGCGAAGAGGTGTATCTTCCAGTGCTGACGCTGCTGCAAAGGTACGCGAGCATATCACCAACACAGCAGAGACCTCCTGCCTGCCTGTTCAGCAGCAAGTGAGGCACAGATAACTCATGCATTCTAAGAAAAGTGGGCCCACTAGAATTTAGCATTCCTTTTAGATTAAGAAAATATACTGGGTACAGGTTTATTACCGTCTTCCTCAAGCACATAAACTCCAAACCTATAGGCAAATTGTTTTTTTAAAATAAAACTTTGTATATATAGTATAAAGAGCAAATAAAATACTGCTTTAACATAAAATATGCATATACAACCGTTTTTGCATGTAATTTCTAACTACAGAAAAAAAACCCCAGAACTGAGTATCTTTTAGAGATATAACGTGTCAAAAAGACTGGAAGGCATTTAGGGTAAGAATTCCTTCCTCCCTCAAGTTACAAAATAAGGCAAAATCTTCTTGAAACTCATGACCAAATCCTCCATGATTTCTTGGTAGTGAAGGTTTCAAAGACAGCTCCATAATGTCCTTCTATTCCGTGACCTTTACTATCAACATGGTAGGGCCTCAAATCCATTTCTGAAACTGGTGTACGTCATACTGGTGCACTGTCATTAGTATCACAGAGTGCGTGTTTCGAACTCTAAACTAGATTGTGCAATGGCACTTTATGACTGTATAACCCACAATTCTGCTGAGGAAGCAAAAACCTAAATTAATCTCCCCTTTCTGCTCCACCATCATAACAAAGACAAACTTACCAAGACTTTTGAGGAAACCACAGAGTCTCTTGGCTGCATCATTCACAGAGAGATTGAATTTAGCAGCAAAATAAGGCAATGACTGAGGGCATATAGATACTGCCAACACCTTGTGTTTTGAGGTATCACATTTCTGGTGAACAAAACAAAAACACAGGAAGTAAGGTAAGTAATTACAACAGGGTGAGGGTCCGTACTTTCCCTCCCTTTTCCACGTTGTTCCACAGTGTCCGATGCTTCAGCGGGCCATATCATTAACACCCCTACGAGACAGCTACTAAGTTTCCTGAGGGCAGGACAGCATCTTTCCCTGATCCTGCCAGTGTTCATCACTCATCACTTGTAGATGTTTCTTTGATCTAACTGAGGGAAATCCATCCCTCCCAGGGCAGTTCTCTGGTTGGTCTCACAACGGCATAAGAAGAGTTAAGAGACATCCAGCACCTATACGTTCTAGCAATATGAAACATTCCAGCAAATATTAAAAAAGCTGTACGTTTAAACATTAATAAATAGATAAACTAACCTTTACAAGAGCATGGGCATTTGAAGCTACAAATCCAACCCAGCAAATCACAGATCTGATCCTCTGTTAAGGCTCCTGTGTCTCTATTACTGAACTTGTTGAGGGAAACCAGCAAGACAGGACCCTCAACAAACCAGTGTTTGTAGGCACTGAAGAACCCTTTGAAAATACCCACGGTGGTGAACGATTGTGAAGCTCTGACGACTGACATTCACAAGAAGATGAATCTTGTGTTTTAGCTGGGACCTTTTCCACACCCGTGGAACCTCTGGAAGCCAAACCAGGTCTATGCCACAGACAAGTCTCATCCCAAAAGGCTGGAGACCATGGTTTGTACTCAGACACCCTGAATGCTGTACAATGACCCTTCAAGTAGAGCTCGTGACTGCCTGGAAAGCATCTCCCTTGCTCACCGTCCTCTTTTGGACCCTTGAAGTTCTGATCAAGCGACCTACCTGCCTCTACTGCAGCCTTCAGGCTCTCTTAATAGGACCCGTGTGACCCAAAATATTTTTTTCCCCTTCTCTTTTTCTCCTGTACAACAATATCATACTGTATGGAGAGTTAAACTAGTTCTAAGAAAACTGAATCACTATGTAATGAATCCTCTTACTTATGACACATACATGCAGATTAAGAAAAAGCATCAGTTCTGGCAGCTTTTGCATACCAAGGAAGGACATAGAAGTCCAGAGCAGAACTAAAATAACTAATTAAGTAGCAAGATCCGAAGATCTGAGCACCACACATAGCAACCAGCTTCCAGGAAATCCAGATCTCAACAGAAAATACAATGGCAAAGGAATGACTTTTTAAGTTTTAATAAGAATTTGGACAAAAAATTCTGTTCCAACTATAGTCAGATCAAATAAATATTAAAAAAATTCTACTTGCAAAACCTTACCTTGCTAACTTTGTATTACGTGGATGCATTGGCACCAGAAACACCTAGAACAGCCCTAGTAATGAAGATATGAGTATCTACAAACACCAAACCACGGACTACTTTGTTATTACAGTTATGAGGTAGTTACGTTTTCCAAAAATGTTACTTTCACAGGTGCAGTAACTTTCCTATAGCATTTAGGTTAAGTGTTGTGATCTTGCACCTCTAGCGCAAAATTATTTTCAGTACTTCAGTGTTCAGTCTTGCCTGAAGTTTTCACTTCCCCTTTGGACAAAGTATATCCTGACAAATCTTCACGTTATCTGCCTTGGGAAACCAAGCTGCTTAGTCATTCTGTCCTCTCCTCCTCCTCACAGAAAACAGTGTGTTATGATTTTTGTCACCTTACCTTATTAAGGTTAAGAATACGAAAGAGCTCCTTCTGATTCTGCTGGAAAACTCTGGCTCCTTCTTCTGATGTCATGCAATTGTCACAAGCTAGGCAGTCGCTAAGGAGTACTTTAGCACTAGCCAATGTATGAAACTCATTTTTCTAGGGGGAAAACAGGTAAACAAGTACTTAGTAATGATCAATCAACTTTTAAGACCTCTGCAATGACCCAGCTGAAGAGCAAACATGCTCTCGCTGTTTTGTTTAGAACAAGGCAACCCGTGACACCTGCACAACATGCAAGATTGTTTAGAAGTAATTAAAATACTTTGTTCCATCATTCTTCATGGCTCTGCTCCTATTATTACTGTGAAACTGCAAAATGCTTAAGCATAAACATAGATCTAAATTTAGTCCTGTAGTCCATGCTCTAGTAACTTGATTTACATTGCATTTCAGAGCTGGCAATCCCCATCAACTTACCAAGCAACTAAGAAAACTTTTACTTGAACTACCAAACCTCTTATAACAGCCAGGTGCCTCTCTAGCAGCAAGATGGCTTTGGCTTTTTACCACGAGGTAAAGCAAACAGAACGCAGTCGCACAATTACACTGAACATATATGTAAGATCAAGAGTTTCATGCTTCTCCTTACAATACTGTTGGCAGCTCATCTGCGGGAAGAAGGAATACTCGGATAGCAGTGCAACACAACCAGACTACTTGGAAAAAAAATCAAACAAAAATCCCTCAATGAAGA